ACATGTATTTTTAATATTGACAAAGGGGAGAGAAGTATACTCTAAAGGGGAGGGCATATTCAATGTCTAACTCAGTGGATGGTATAATTAATGGACTTGGAAATATAACAACAAATATTTATAATGGTTTATGATGATATCCAGTACCTTGTATGGTTTAACAATTGGACATCGACACTTTTATAATGAGGAAAACATGTCTAAAGCACGTTTACAAAATTATCAATTAGTGATTAGTACACGAACAACATAGAAAGTGTATTTTCTGTATCTTATTGTGCATCAAATGAGATCACACTGAATGAGTGTATATTTATATGCATATCGACTTGGATTAAGGATGTGATTTTATGCCGAAGAGAATAAAGAAGTTGAGAATATTCTAGAAGGGCTACCTGAACCTCAGTTCACCTCTGATGATTATATGATGCTATACACATATACTTCTTCTTTAAAATGTTTTAGTTTTATGTTGAAAGGTTTTGTTTAAGTTGATTAAGAGTTTAATTTTTATGGAAATTATTTATGCTTAAATTTCATTGCAAGACCATATATAATATGTGCACTGAAAATCCTCCTCACAACTATTCTCATAGTCTGGAGTCCTTTCTAAAGCCGTTTTGTAGAATTTTTGAAAAAATTATAAATCTTGACAGTGATGATTGCAACTAGGCAGCAGATTTGTTGAACTGTTTGTCGTGGATCTTAGTGTTTGCCTATTTGTGCTGCTCGATTTTGAGGTCTCTAGGAGTAGTGAACGATGAAACCGAAAAGCAAACATAAGTTGCAACGATCGTTGGAGTCGAAAATGAAACACTTTCATGATGCAGTAATATGAGAAGGTTGTGAACTGGTGAATCGGGAACTGGATCTGGAAATGCCAAAATTTGGATCTAGAACTCACGCGTTTGTTCTGCATCATTTTTGAAATGATTGTGATTTTTGTAGAAGTCGTAAGAATCATAAGTCATTTTACACTGACGACACCACTATTCCATTCGGGAACTATAAATAAATTCTCCATCTCTACGAAGGAATCAAAAAATGAAGAGAGTTGAATAACAATCGATCTTGAACGATGACTCTAATCTTCGTTACATTAATGTAGGATGAACCTCCATAATTAGCACTCTGACGCTCAAGTTAGTTCAAAATTCAAGATGAGTATAATAAAATTAGAGATCAGAAACTATGTACATTAAATACTCTTGTAACTATATTTATATCTTAGGCTTAATGGAGTGGATGAGATGAGCGTGCCTTATCTTATTGGGCATTTGACAGGCTCAGAACAAAAACAATTTTCAAGAATACAATTTTTGCATTTCTACCATTTTTTGGCACAAATTTCTTCATTTCACGATATATATCATTGTTCCTTGACATCCATATACTCCACATGTAGATGAACCATAACATTGCTAGTTTAATTAACTGATTTATACGTCTGCCATTCAAGCTTGCGAACTGCACAATGTGCTACCACCAACTCTGACCCCGCCAAGCCATCGAACAACGAAACTCCACAAACTTGTAAACACTGTGCACTCAAAAAATAGGTGAGAAATTAATTCCTCACTCCCTCACCTCTGACGCACCTAATTGAACCTCTCGTCAATCACTCGCATTCTGATTGAATTATTTTTTGTTAAAATTCTCTTATGCAACCTTCTTCACACTAAACACGATACTTACGAAGGAATTGCCTTACTCCATTATCTTTTAATTCAAAACCTCATTAGTCATTTTGTATTCGCTTACCAATGCCATATACCACACACCCTCCTTTCTATTTTAACTTTCCAATTCCATTTTCCTAAAATTTGGTTGATAAATAAAAATAAATTTTTTTTTATAACAATGTTTGAAAGAGCTTATTAAAACAATTTATAATATTATTCATAAATTTTTTTAAAATTATTTTTATAAGTTCTCATAGAAAATTTACGAAAACAATTTATAGCACATATAAAAATAATAGAAATTTTATTTTTTGTTAAAAAGTAATTTATGCAAATTTTTTTATAAATGTTTATTTTGATACTCCCTTCTACTGCAAACACCAAATAAGTTATTTATACTCTAAATTTTAAAATAATTTCATAGATACACAACTAAAGACAACTAAGTCAAAATACATCCATTTTTTCAAACAAAAATAAAATATTTTTGCAATCATCATTTTATTACCATCTTTCTTTTATGAAAACAATGCGGGAGAAGTCCAATGAAAAAAACTAAAGAGAACTAAACGGGGCAACAAAACATCTTAATAAGATTAACAAGAACATTCGTAAATTCAATAGGAGGTTCAAGTATTGCTTGAGTATCATAATTATGTGTATATTCTATATTAATTAGTAACTCTACACATATATTTTCTTCTTGATATATAGAGAATTTAGATATTTCAATTCAACTCTAATAATTCTTTGATTTTCTTCATAAGACTCAATCTTTTAACATTATCAATAATATTAGTAGTCAGGCTCTAAACAACCACCATTAAATCTAGTTGAACATCCGAATCAACTACACTAAATTTTCTAACTAAGCACACACTTTCATAAATACCTTATGCTTATGATATATATATATATATATATATATATATATATATATATATATATATATATATATATATATATATATATATATATATATATATATATATATATATATATATATATATATATATATATATATATATATATATATATATATATATATATCGAAATAACAAATAAATTCAACAATCCACTTGTCACTGCTATCACGAATGACACCACCATATCCTACACCTTATCTATCCATCTTAGCAACATCATCAATATTTAAATATCCACCTATCACCCATGCATAGGAGAAGACCAACTTAAGTTAATTGTTTGTTTAGAAGTGCTCAAACCCATCTTTTACATGCTTTTTTGAATTATGATATTATTTAACATGGCTAATGATAAAACAAAATTTTCATAACTTTCATAATTGTCATCACGAACTGAGTCATTCCGCCACGTGCCGTATCCAGTAACATATAGTACCCAAAATATCTCTATTTATTCTCAATAGTTTGACCAATTTCTTGAGTTAAATTAAAACTCAATCCATTATTGCATTCTTCTCATAAAAAATCTTCCACGATTATCCATATTTATCAAATGAATCCAACTCTCTATTAATTTTCAATAAATATTTTTGCTATATTTAGTGAGGAGGAGATGATGACACAGAGACACAAGATTATGTGATGTATTCTCATTTTTAATTTCAATAAATCTGAATCATTATTAAAAATCTGTCTGTATTTGCTTCTAAGTTCACAAGAGGATTCAAATGAACCTTCTTACTAGAACTAGAAGTTGGGGTGGCAAATGAATTGATCTTTTTAGATTGGCCTGTTTGACCCGTCATTTTTAGTGAGTTGAATTGAAATTTTCGGTTCGGTATCTTAAGTTAGTCCACCCTGATTAATCCACTTAAAAAAACGGGCCAAGGCGGTGTGAGACGGGTTTTCCTCGCAGATTTTTTGTTAAAACTTATATTCTTTTTACTAAGAATTAAAACAACTTTAAATATAAAAACAACACTTATCTCTTAAAATTGTATTATAAATGACTATATAGACAAATTGAATTATAAATGTAACGTTCTTTTTATAACTTTCTAATATATGCGTTGATTGAAAATGATTAAAATAAAAGAATAAATGTATGACATACCTATTAACTCAGATGTTTTCTTTAAAAATAGATGTTAATTTGAAGAAAATGAAAGATTTGATTAGTGTATATGTGTGACAATTTTAAGATTTAACAATTAAAGAATCAGTAAATATAAGAGTCTATATAATGTAAACAATGATAAAGTTCAGTGTTGATATTTTATGCATTATTATTTTATGCACGAATGTTTTATGCAATGTTATTGTTATCATAGTTGGTTTTGTGTAAATTTTAAATTGGATTCTTTTAGTAGTTAATTTTTAAATAGGATTATAATGATATGTATTGTTTATTTATTGACATTTTTTTATTGTACTTGAGTTTATTTTGTTTTTTATTGTACTTGAGTTTATTTTGTTTTTTTATTGTAATTGGTCTTTATTTATTAATTTTTTGAATTGTTTGAATTTAAGACATTTTAAAGTTCTATTATACATTGTTAAAATAATTTCTTTATCGACTTCTTTGATAAAATTTTTCTAAAATATATATTAAATTAAATTGTAAAATAAAAAAAATAAAAAATTGGCGAGCTGATCTACCAACCCGCTAACTCGTTAATAAAAAAACTCAGACTCTTACGATGACTCATCATAGATTTAAACGGAAGAGATTAAATGAAGCGCACCATCTTCTTTACCACGCCTAACTAGAAGCCACTAATAATTAATTGTTCTTTTTATTAAAGTAAAAAATATCAATTAATTTCTCATAATAAAACCGTACATAAAAAAATGGCAAATATATTAACATTTTCCGGTGCACAATTTCCTCTTAATTTATTTTCGTTCCTTTTTATTTTCTATTCTGTCTTTGGAGCTCGTTCATCATCATCATCTTCTTCATCCTTCTTGATTTTCCTTTCCCCTCTTCTTTCACCGAATCGTTATTAGGGTTTCACTCATCCATCAAGCTCACGCTTCTTCACCTCTTAACGGTACGTTTCTATCTTCCCTGCTCAACCAAAATTCCGTTTCTCAGAGCACGATACCGTTGCGGCGGCATCGTTTTATAGTTTAGGAATTTCTCTAGAAGCTTTTAATTCCATGATTGTGATGCTGGAGATTGTTTTGTTATGCTATGGTTTTGTTAAACTGGATTTGGTCAAATCTGAGAATGGTTTTGCAGTGCAATTTGTTTATGTTTGGGAAGAACAGTTTAGGGTTTAGTTTGGGGGTGAAGGGTTTAATTCTGTTTTACCGTGATATTTGGTTTTCACATCGGACTTGTGAATATTTGGATGCAGATTTCGGTGTTTAAAGTTGAGGGATATCCATGAGTGAACGCAAGACTATCGACTTAGATCAAGGATGGGATTTTATGCTGAAGGGAATAAAGAAGCTGAAGAATATTCTAGAAGGCCTACCTGAACCTCAGTTCACCTCTGATGACTATATGATGCTATACACGTATGCTTTTTCTCTGAGATGTTTTGGTTTTATATTGAAAGGTTTTGTTTGAGTTGATTGAGAGGTTAGTTTACTTTTTGTGGAAATTATTAATCAAATTTTATTGTAGGACCATATACAATATGTGCACTCAAAAGCCTCCTCATGATTATTCCCAACCATTGTATGACAAGTATAAGGAGTCATTTGAAGAGTACATCATATCAACAGTGAGTAATGCTATTACTTTGATATGATATATGATAACCTGTTTGCTACTTTCCTACCTGGCTAATAATAATTGCAAATTTATTGCTGTATACTAGTGAGTATCATACCATCGTGTCGATTTTTTAATTTTTAGGGCTCTTGGCTTAGGTTGAATAGGAACAGGATTCAATTTGTTTCTGATTGTTCCTGATGCTCATGGAGTTCTAAGACATGGCATCAGCGGCACATCTTTTCTTCTTTTTAGGAAAGTGTTATCATCAATCATGTATTTCTTCGAAGGTTAGGTGGTTTTTATAAATAGTAAACAAGGGTAAAATGAAAAGGTAGCATAATTAGGGTTTCCTAGTTCTCCTAAGCAGTCATTCACAAAATGATGTTTTGGAAGATTCCATCTCCCGTGGGCTAGATAGTTATAGTTTTGATTTTTAAGTAAGTGGACATAGAGTGAATCTTTTGGAATGGAAAGATGCACAGCACAGCTGCAGCCTCACAACTAGCCGCATAACACAGTCAAGCATTTTTAATATCTAGTTGACTAGTTAATACATGGGCCAGACCAGTGCTTCACAGCAAGGTTGTCAAAATTGGGATCTTGCATAAGATCGGGAGGGGATAGTAAGATCGTAAAACATAAGATCGTAACTAAGATCGGAAGATCTTACTCAATCATTTTTGTGAGATCAAGAGTGGGTAGCAAGATCGTAAAACATAATATCGTAACAAAAATCGTAAGATACTGCTAAAACAGAAAATGATACTACATATTTGAAGTATTTCTACATGATATTTTCGTAGGCAAGTGTCTACATGGGAAAATGGACGCCGCTGAACCATAATTGTTGAGGCTCTGTATCTTGTCATCCTTCTCAACATGTAATGGCGGTGGCCGGAAAATGGCTGATCATGGCCGGAACTGGCCAAGATCGCACATAATCAATGTTTATACCATTTATTTGCAATTTGACTACAACACGATTCTACTTAATATTTAGATCGTTGGGGGTGAGTGAGATCGCCAAATCGTAAGATTTTAAGATTTAAATCGAGATTTTGATAACCATGCTTCACAGCATCCATAGACAAGAACAAATGACCATATGCCATCTTAACTATAGGGGGAAAAGTAGTTTTGAAATTAAAACGCTATAGTTTTCAAGGACTTCAACTTTGAAAGATGAGGAGCCATATACGCACGAGAAACCCCATCCAGATATCTTAATTTTGGAATTAAAATTACCAGCTAAGTGTGTCTATACTCTATAGTAACTATGAAACTATATCTAGGAATAAAATGAAAGATTAACAACAGAAAGAAAAATGATTACTAGTTTTAATTATAATCAATAGATACAGTTCTGATTCTGAAGATCACTTCATTCCGTGGTATCCAACAAAAGACTCGATCTCTCTTTCCAAATTCGCAGTCTTAAATCATAAGACCCGTTAGATTTTTCTCTTTTGTTAACTAGATTCTGTTATTTCTCTTACCCTCTTTGCCTAGCTTTAATTAACCTACTAACAATAGGTTTCTTCTAACACATTGATACTGAAGGTGGAAGGCCGTTTAATTTGCTGGAAGGAAGTCTGGTTTTGGTATTTAGCTACTTTGTATAGTATCATTAGTTTTAGTCGTCTCTAATCTGTATGTGTGAGATAAATATGTGTTTTATACAGTTGAAATGATTCTCAAAGTTTGATTGGTCTATTTTTCCCAAAGGTAGCTTTTTCTATTACTTCCTAGTAGCAAAATCTGCCTGACTTGTAGATATTATAATTTCGAAATCATTAGTAATGACATATGCTATAATGAAATGCTTTTTTTTTGGGATGATGTGTGTTGTATAAAAACTATAGCGGCACTATACTGTAACGGAATAAGGACAAACCATTATTGCTCCGTCATAGGCTATTTAGTGGTGCTATAACACTATTGCATAGCGGAATTTTAACAATCTACTATCCATGATTGACATTATTGAGGTGTCTCGTGGTTCATTTAATTTCCAGTACATTTTAACCGTAAAGCTTTAGAAATCCGTTTTATCCTTTATTTGATAGTTTTATCTGTTATTAGTTTTTTGTTCTCAACTTTTCTTTTATAATTGAGAATTACCTTTTTTGGGTTTAGGTATTACCTTCTTTGAGAGAGAAGCATGATGAATTTATGTTGCGTGAACTTGTGAGGAGGTGGGCTAACCATAAAATTATGGTTAGATGGCTTTCTCGTTTCTTTCACTATTTGGATCGATACTTTATTGCTCGGAGGTCACTTCCGCCGCTTAACGAAGTTGGGTTGACTTGCTTCCGTGATTTGGTAGTTCTACTCTGTACCTTCAAAGTTTTGTAAAATTGTAAATTTAACACTGAACCTTAGTTGGTGCTGTGTCAGTTATTAGTTATTCTTTCATATTATCATTCCATTTTAATCTTGCTTCCTGACATGATAGATCATTAATGTGATTTTTATCATTTTCAGGTTTACAGGGAAATAAATGGGAAAGTGAGAGATGCCGTAATTTCTCTTGTATGTTCTTCCTTTCTTACTATAGAAGATTTCCATTTTCAGTGTGCACAAATATAGAGTAAATAATCTATCCTTTTTTGCTTAAAGATTGATCAAGAACGTGAAGGGGAGCAGATCGATCGAGCTCTATTAAAAAATGTATTAGATATATTTGTTGAAATTGGAATGGGGCAAATGGATCAATATGATAATGATTTTGAAGCTGCCATGCTCAAAGACACTTCTGCATATTATTCTCGAAAGGCTTCAAACTGGATCCTAGAAGATTCTTGTCCTGATTATATGCTCAAGGTATTATTCCTTCGCCGGGGTGATTATAACTTGGTTCCTTCATCTACAATATCACATGGCTTCTGTTTAAAATCACGGCTTTCATTACAGGCTGAGGAGTGCTTGAAACGGGAGAAAGATAGGGTTGCTCATTACCTACACTCTAGCAGCGAGTCAAAGTTATTAGAGGTATATTCTTTACTTGCTGTTATTCCATATTTGGTCTAAAACTGTGTCAAATAGTATGCCGCATTCTTACTTGAAGATTTTTTTTTATTAATAACTGTTGTGATTCTTTATGATTCCGTTTTCCGTGTCTGACCTTTTCTGCCTCTTTTCTTTTTGAAATTTTGCTTTTTAGAAAGTTCAACATGAGCTTTTATCTGTGTATGCGTACCAACTTCTTGAAAAAGAACATTCTGGATGTCATTCATTGCTTACGGATGACAAGGTATTATTTAAACATAATATGGACACAAGTTTTTTAAACATATCTTAGGACGTAAACTTATTTTCACGGTTTCCTTTAAATGCTTAGGTTGAAGACTTGTCAAGGATGTTCAGACTCTTTTCTAAAATACCCCGAGGCTTGGAGCCTGTTTCCTGTATATTTAAGCAGGTTGTGACACCAAACCTATATTAATGACTTTCCTCCCTCGTATGTCAGTTAAAATAAAATAAGGTATAATATTTTTCTCCACTCTTTCCTGATGGTCTGTTTATGTGTATGCAGCATGTTACTGAAGAAGGTACAGCATTGGTGAAGTTGGCTGAAGATGCAGCAAGTAACAGGAAGGTATGTTTCAAATCTGTATTTATCTTTGAATGTAGTAATTTCTATGGTAAAATGAGTTTTATTTACTAAAGTATCCTTATTAATCTAGTAGTTAGTAGAGTTGTCGGGTGAATTGGGATACAGTAAATAAATGTATATTAGTTGAAAAAGTAGTTTATGCTTCGATGGTATTCTAAAATGAAAATAATGTGAGACACACAATATTCTAAATCGACACTTAATATGAGACGAAATGAGTATCTATTTAACATTCTGTTTTCAGAGGGAAAGAGAGTGTAAGAGGTTACAAATGGCTCATCTTGATCATTTTATCTATCTATTCTAATAATAATTCTTCTCATAATGACACGTGGTCCTGCCAATTTTCCCATGAGATTTTTACTAGTTTCAAACTAAAGAAGTGCAAATTAATGTTCATTACTAGGAAATATCTATGCAGTTATGAGTAATATCTACATAAACAGTTGGAGCCACATGAATAACATATTGATGCATCTTAGAAATATTGTGCGGCTAATTTGTCAATAGCGCGCTATAGCGGTGCTATAGCAGAATAGCATAGCGGTGGTAGGCTTCGGCAGGACACATTTGGCCCGCGAGCCGCTGTCGGCAATAGCTGTTGTAGCGGTCATGCTAGTTAAAATCCCAATTTGAATAGTAAAATATCACGACTTTGTGGTTATGCTCGCCTGCAATGATTGGAATATACACATAACTCTATTTTGGTGGAATCAAGTAGAATCCCCTCTGTTAATTGTCACATTGAAAAAAAGAATTGTCCCCAAAAGTTTGTCGGTTTCAATTTTCGATGTGTTTTATTTTTTTGATCATACCCTCTAATTAATATTATGTGTATCACCCACAAGTTGTTATTTTTCACTTTTACATTTATGACAATGAGAAAACACCAATAATTAATAAGGATAATTTACTAAAGTCACCATTTTCTTCCATTTATTATCATATTTTCTTAATATTCGTGAAATAGTCAACTGTGACGATTTTTGTGGGACGGAGGGAGTAATAAACATCATAATAATAATAATTATATAAACATTGAGGTATACTTTGTGAGTTTGTACGGTATTTTGCTATCATTCAAAGCCTTTTATACAATTTTAAGGATTCATGATGGGAAAATAAAAGAGAGAAAATGCACAACTTTACAAAACTGGCCCTCATCAAGAGTAAACCTTAGATCTCATCTTATACATTCCTAGAAGTTATTGGACACAGACATGTTTTGACTTTTTGAGCCATAGCAATAGACTAGACTGTTCCCCTTTGTTATTTAGTATTTTAACAAATCAAATATCAAGCTAGTTCCAACCGTCATTCGGTTTAAGTTTTATAGTAGGTTGACCATCTTACTTTTCTAACTAATATTTCTTACGGATTTCAGTCTCTTCATTTTGCAAACAATTTACTTATGGTTCAGCTGTAAATGGTTACTTTTATGGGAATTTAAGTTGATAATAACCCATACCCGTGGGTATCCGCCTGAACCCGCCCCGAATATGATGGGGGAAAACCCGCTTTGATTGGGTTTGGGTTCGAGTTTTCTCTGATTTCAAGATATGGGGACGGGGCGGGTAATGGGGAGTGTAGTACCCACCTCGAACCCGTCCCTGAACCTGCCCCGTTTATTATTATTATTATTATTATTATTATTATTATTATTATTATTATTATATTGTAATATATATGATTTAACAATATTATTAATTGTATGGTTGATAAATTAATACTTTTGTTAGTATTTTATTATTCGAGATATATGTTTGAAATTCTTCGAGATTGTATTTTATATTTGTAATATAAGTTAATATATGTTAAGATTGGAGCAGGTTTTAGGTTCGGGGTGAATTTTGGGTTTGGGGAAGCTTTTGGGTTTGAGACATATTTTGGGTTTGGGGGCGGGGCGGGGATCCCCGAACCCATTTGGGGCGGGTTTGGGATTCAATTATTCATCCCCGACGGGGATTGGGGTGGGTAACGGGGATTTATCTTGAATTCGAGTTTGGGTTTGGGGAATACAAAAACCGTCCCCGTCCCGTTGCCATGTCTAATTCTAACCTATGTAGCACTGACACCTCTGAAAAAAGGAGTGTCCTTGTCAGCGTTGGACACCCGCACCAACACTTGTGATTACGTTTATTATTCACTTTTTCAAATTAGTACCGGTGTTTTCATGTCAATGTCGGGGTCATGTTCAGGGTGTCCGTGCTTCATAGATTCTATTTCTAACACTTCAATACCTTTAAAATGTCTGCAGGCTGAGAGAAGGGATATTGTTGGTTTACAAGAGCAGGTAATGTTGGAATTTTCTAATTTTATTAATAGTTTAACCGCAATTGATATTGATCTATTTATGGAAACTGAGAGTGGTCCCTTTCTTCAGGTTTTTGTTCGAAAGGTGATTGAGCTGCATGACAAGTACCTGGCATATGTGAACGACTGTTTCCAAAATCATACTCTATTCCACAAGGTTATATGATCTTAGAATGACTTCAAAATTGCTATGCTGCATTAATTTGTTATCTGAAATATTTTATCCTATAGGCTCTTAAAGAGGCTTTTGAGATTTTTTGCAACAAGGGTGTTGCTGGAAGCTCAAGTGCCGAACTGCTTGCCACTTTTTGTGATAATATTCTCAAGAAAGGAGGAAGTGAAAAATTGAGTGATGAAGCAATTGAAGATACTCTTGAGAAGGTCCGCTATGCATCTGTCTAGATTTACCATATAAGTTGATGCTCGTCGTTCTGAAATTGAGATTTCTTTTGATCCATTTGCAGGTTGTCAAGCTACTTGCCTATATTAGTGATAAAGATTTGTTTGCCGAATTTTATAGGTAAGCAACATAGAAATGGAAATATTTATGATAATCATTAGTGTTAGGATTTTATTAGGATTTGTTTCAATGCAATGCGGGTTGTTTTATGGTTTTTGGAACAAAAGTTGGAGGGAAAATGTCTTTCATGTTCTATAAATAGTTAGGTTCAGAAACATAAAACATATCCTCCTTGGCTTTGTCCTTTTGGGTTTTGGTTTCTTATCATGCCTTACAGTTTTATTTGTATTTTAAGCTGAGCAAAACATTTTTGAATCGTTATGGCACGATTAACGATACTGCTGCAATCCATCATTGTAGTGAAGTTTCATGGCTATTTGCTGAGCATCAAAGTTACCCTCTTTTCGTAATGGAAGGCACTTTCATAAGAGTATCATAAATCTGGCCTTGTTGCTTGCAGGAAAAAGCTTGCTCGAAGGCTTCTTTTTGATAAGAGTGCCAATGATGACCATGAGAGGAGTATTTTGACAAAATTGAAGCAACAATGTGGTGGTCAATTTACCTCAAAGATGGAAGGAATGGTCAGTCTTTTCACGTCTTCGAAATGGAGCTGATATTCTATTTTCCTCTATTTTTGTAGAATGATGAAAGAAATTCCTTTGTTTATGTGGGTTCTACCAGGTTACGGATTTGACGCTGGCAAAGGAGAATCAAACAAGCTTTGAGGAATATTTAAGCAATAATCCTAATGTAGACCCTGGAATTGACTTGACAGTTACCGTTCTGACCACTGGTTTTTGGCCTAGTTACAAATCTTTTGACCTCAATCTCCCTGCAGAGATGGTATATCTGGATTTTATTTTATATTAACCCAGAACTTATTTGCCTAATGTTTAATAGAATTTATCTTAGATTTAGACTATTTAAAAAAAGATTAATGAACACTTTTCTCTTCAATTATTTAGGTTAAGTGTGTAGAAGTTTTCAAGGAATTTTATCAAACAAAAACTAAGCACAGAAAGCTAACTTGGATTTATTCTCTGGGTACCTGTAATGTAAGTGGGAAATTTGAACCAAAAACTATGGAGCTGGTTGTGACGACATACCAGGTTATATTTCTTATGCATGCTCCATTTGGTAAAAGTGTATCTTTTGTGTGTTACTGCTTCATTGTTTAATTTGCGTGATGTCTGAATTCTTGTACGGGTTTCTCTCTTACTTACCCGATGTTATCTTTTACTTTTCAATAGGCTTCGGCACTGCTTCTTTTCAATTCCTCAGATAGGCTGAGCTATTCTGAGATAATGACTCAGTTGAACTTGACCGACGATGATGTTATTAGACTGCTTCACTCCTTATCATGTGCCAAGTACAAGATTCTTAACAAGGAGCCAAGCACGAAATCAATATTACCTACTGATCATTTTGAATTTAATTCCAAATTTACAGACAAAATGAGGAGGATCAAGGTACATTTGTAAAAAATTAATTGTTTTAATCTATTCTGTATTTCTGTTTACTTAGTTATCAGAGTCTCCATGTGTTTTATAGATTGTTGAATTAGACTGACTCATAATTTGTTGGGCAGATTCCTCTTCCTCCTGTGGATGAGAAGAAAAAAGTAATTGAGGATGTTGACAAAGACAGAAGATATGCTATTGATGCCTCAATTGTGCGTATTATGAAGAGTCGGAAGGTTTTAAGTTACCAACAGTTAGTTATGGAGTGCGTTGAGCAGTTAGGCCGCATGTTTAAGGTTCATATTTAACCCCTTTCTTTTATGACCTATTGTTTTGTTAGCCAGTTTTTGCTCTACTCCTGACTTGTTGATGTTTGCACAGCCCGATGTCAAGGCAATTAAGAAGCGGATTGAAGACTTGATCTCTAGAGACTACCTAGAAAGAGACAAAGATAATGCAAATTTGTTCAAGTACTTGGCATGATGTGATCTTGATGACTTCACAACTGAAGTTTTTAATGCAGTCGCTGCAAATAGAAAAACAATACTTGAAATTGGAGAAAATCAGTTCCTCATAGTTTCCTTAAGGGAGGAATAGTGCTTGTAAATTTTTCCTCCATATCTAGGCATCAACTGGTTACTGTAAATGTGTGCTCATGTTGGAAATATTTTAATCAGTTCTATAATTTAGTAGGCTCAGATCGTATTTTCTTTGTTGTTTTTCTGTTGCCTGCATTCCCACCCGATGAATTAGTTGATGCTGTTTATTATTTATTTCTCCCACCCCATATATAGGAATAGGGATTGTGTTATCTTAGTTTAAGTGTAATTGTAATTTGGTTGTAATCTTAAAAAACGATCAAATGAATGGGCATTTCAATGTCATTTGACATCTACGTCGTTTTTCTTACAATGCATCATACATCGACGGCTGCACTAGTTTTCTTATGATAGATACATATACTGCATTGATCTGATAGAGTGTGCACATATGATGATTTTCATTTTATGTGTTTGGTATGCGCTTCATAGTGACATATATTAAATAAAGTTAAAAGATTACATTTGTGACAAATGTTACATGCATATTTTTGAAATTAATTTTAATATCTTAAATTTACTAAATAAACAAAAATAAAACAAAACCAAAGATAGGTAACTTTTAATTTTTTTAATACTATTAAATAATTAATTTACTAAAAAAATGATATTGGTAAAGAAAATTATAATTAACCTCTAATTTTTTGTTTAAAATTCATATTTTTAGTTTTTTAACGATCATCATTTTATTTATTATAAATATTCCAATTTCATTAAATTAGTTCTTAATTTTTAATTTAATATCAAACTTATTTATTTATATATGTATACTATTTAAATTTTAGTTTTTTATATTTTAAATATTAATTTTATAAAAACAAATTAATAATTATCCAAGAACACTAATTTAACCAGAGGTCTTGCATTCTCTTCGGCTTAAGGGATTAATTTTTAAAAGAACAAATTAACAATTTATCTTTTAATTATCTTTTGTTGGTTTTTAACTTTGTTTATGATCTTACCTGATCAGACTTGAACCGTCACGACTGACTCCGAACTGAAGTTGAACGAGATGGGGGTACCTGTAAGGCACTCTGATGCTAAAGTAAGTGGGAGTACGAGCAGGCAAAAAGTATGAGTATGGGTAAGAGAATGAATACCTGATCCTCTGGGTACAAAGGGTATTTATAGCCCCCAGCGCTGGGCCAAGGTCCCTTCATTGGGCCGGGCAGGTTTGGCCCAATGAAGGAACTGCCAGGTTTTACGTGTGTAGTGGAGACCCGCACGTGGTCCCCTTCCTGGGTGTTCTGCGAGAAGTATGGGCGGACGGGGACGCGGTCTTTTCGGAATCCAGAACATGGCGTAATGGTCATAGTCTGCCCTACGAGGAGCGCTCGAGCAGAGGTCGAGCTGGACTACATGAAGTCGAGGATGTCGTGGACAAGGCTATGGCTTCTTGGTAGGAGCGACCTCCTGCAGGGCCGTTTGGATTGGGCCTTCATCCTTGCTCTTGGGCCAACCCGGCCCAGTCCAGAACAGGAGCCCCCCAAGTCGTGGTTCCTAGAGTGGAGCCATGACTTGATCTTAGTTCGCCTCTGTCACGGGGTCACGCTCTCGGACAAGAGATGTAGTTCCCCGAGGTTGCACGAGGAGTTCCCCCTGTGTCGCGCCCGTGAAGTAATCCTCTCGAGGAGTGCTCGGGGGACTCTCGACGAGGCGTCTCTCGAGCACACGAGACATCTCTTGGGAACTGTGCCTCCACCCTATTGACGATAGGGTCATCATTGCCTAGGGGAGCTATGCGTCGAGGAGGGAAGTCTGTGGTTCCCCGGGGTGACGTTTCGTATTCCACGTCATCACTATAAATAAGGTCCTTGGGCCCCAGAACATGTTTTTCCTCTTCGCGCTTCTCCTCCTTCCTCTGCCTTTGCTGCTGTTGTTCTTTCCAGATATTCATAAGACCGCCGTGCCCTCCGTCGATGATTCTCCTTTCCGCCGTCGCACTTCTTTTCAGATTTCAAGCAAGCGTCTTGTCCCCTATGCTTTTCCTCTGTGATGTATGATATTTTTCGTTGTTTTTAGACGCTAGAGACTGTACGCCTGGGATTAGCCCCGGTAGATTAGTGTTTGGCTCGGCAAATCCATGTTTATGCTCGGTAAATGCATAATTTAGGTATTTGACTCGCGGTGCTTCCCGGGATCTTCATGATTCAGGGCGCCTAATTCGTCGTAGTGCCCGGTAAACTCATAGCTCTAGATTTGGGTTTTTATGATATCGCTCGCCATGTTCATAGCCTGGTCGACATATTCGTGAGTGGTCGAGATGTTGGCCCATTTAGGCGATCTGTAGGAAGACTTGTCGTGGTACCTGGGAGTCGGGGAGGTGACACCATCTTTTTTAGTCATGCGTGGAGTGAAACGGTTTGTCGCGCCCTTCTTCCCGTCCGTTATGGCGAGCGTGTGGATTTGCTCCCCAATTGACCGGTTTCCTGTGCTTTGTAGGTAACAATGGCGGACAAACCGTGTTCCTCGGGGCGCACTGAGGCGGAAGACCAAAGTGCCGAGGAGAATGTGAATTTGGTTGATACCATAGAGGATCCTCTGCTGGAATGGGTGGGCGCCGAGCCCAGAGGGATCGCTTCAGCCTATAGTCGACGCAGTCGAAGTGCGCTCACCATCATCGAACAGGGCGGTAGTCAGCCCGGTTTTCAGAAGAACTTTGTCGTCACTAGGCCGACTCTTACTGCCCGGATTTGCTCGGAGTTCCCCGAGTACGGGTTCCCGATGTACGAGATTGCTTTCAAGGACCTGGGGTTAAAGCTCCCCTTCAGCGATTTTCAGGTCGGGGTCTTCAGTCATCTGGAGCTGGCCCCGTCGCAGCTTCACCCAAACTCGATTGCTTTCATCCCGGCGTTCGAGCTGACGTGTCGCTTTCTAAGGATTGGGGCGACTATACCTCTCTTCTTCAGAGTCTTCCATTTACAGCGCCAGTCCCGGGGAGGTAGGCACAGCTGGGTTTCCTTGAAACAGTCGAAGCGATTGTTCAGGATGTACATGGATTCTGTCCGGGGCTTCAAGGACAAGTGGTATATCGTGCGTCCGGTTACCAAAACGGGATTAGAGTCTGTGTATGAGGAAGAAACGGTTGTGACCGACGATCATGGGGAGGCTCTTCTAGACGACGAGGGACGCCCGGTGTTGGGGCGCGTGGCCAAATTTCCTTTGCACTGGACCTCGCGTCACTACGAGCACGACACCGGGCACTACCATACGTCCGCGGGCGAGATGAGCACCGAAGACGAGGAGGCTTATGGTACCCTTTGCCGGTATGTCGACAATTTCTTCCCCGCCCAGTGGGCCACGAGGGAGGGGAAGGATATTCTTGACGAAGATGGTTATCCGACCTTTGAGGCTCGGCCTATCGATACGAAGGCACTTGTGGAGTGCCAGTCCTTCGGGCAGGCTGCGAACCTGCTAGGTCATTATTGTTTTGTCTTGTTTGAATTTCTTCACTTGTTACTTGTTCGTCACTAACCCGGGGTCATTTTATGCAGGTCTCATGGCTGGACGAAAGGAGAGGCTCCTGAAGCTGACACAGGATAAGAAGGTTAACAAGAGGGTGGTGCGAGCTCCTCAGGCGACGAGGATGGGCCCGCCAACTAGCCCGGGTGCTGCTTCTGGAGGGTCCCCGGACGCTCAGGATGTCGAGCCACATACCGACCTGATACCAAGGAAGAGGAATCAGACGGAGAGCCAACCGGAGGTCGGCGAGGACTCCAGTGCGGTGAGGTCCTTCAGGTTTCCCCCTTGTTTCAAAGAGGAGGGTTTCTTCGAGGGATTTCCCTTGTCCGTGAGTGCTGATGAAGCTGCAACCATTAGGCGGATGAGCAAGGAGAGCCGGAGGAGGCACTTGGCCGCCAACATGGTCGGGCTGGTCAAAATGGCAGAGATGGCCATTGTGCTGGCCGAGGAGGGGGTAAATTCAGATCGCATCAAGGAGCTGGAACAGGAGAAAGCTGCCCTTACTTCGAGTTCCCTAAAGCTGAAGGCTGCCCTGGAGCGCTCCGAGGAGATGTTCCGCGAGCAAGCCGAGCTGCTGGTGGCGGAGAAAGAGAACTCAGGGAAGATTGCCGAGGAGAGGGAGTACTTTCGCGAGGACCGGGAACGCTTGGAGGCTGACAACGGGCGGCTCTCCAAAGAGGTCGAGGAACTAAAGGCCGCCATGCTTCCTGCCGAGGATGAGTCGGAGGAGACCGCTCCTTTGCGAAGTCGGTCGGAACTGGTTGCTCGCATTCAACTCCTCGAGGCGGATTGCGTTGGTGCTCTGGCGGATGGCTTTGAAGCCGCGATCAGCCAGCTCTCCCTGTTGAATCCCGATCTGAATACTGAAGGAGCGGGTTACATGTCTCAGATCATTGATGGTCAGGTCGTGCCTCCGCCCGAGTCTCCTGTTGTCGGTGGTGATAGCTCCGCGGAAGCCTAGTTGTGAGATTCTAGTAGGGCCTGCGCGCCTTTGTTGATGTTTGTTTTGGGGTCTGCGTGCCCGTTCATATTTTACCTTTTGGGCCTGCGTGCCCGTTCTTTGTAATTCTTGAACATCGCCGGCCTTCTTGGTCGGTTTAACTATATTTGTTTTGTTGCCCATGGGCTTTTCAAATGAACGTTTGTGCTCGACTTTTGATTGTTTGCCCGTGTTTATGTTTTAATATTTTTGCGCTAAAGCTGGCCTAAGTTATGGCCCCGAATCTTTCCCGTGTGTGGTTGTGACCTTGTTGGCAAATTTGCCTAAGTCTTTTGTTCGGGTCGTGCCCGTGCTCGGCTTTCTATTCGGTGGCCAAATTCGCCTAAGTGGTGACCTCGAGGAGAGATTTCTTTTTCGACCCTTGGATGGCCCGACGTTCTTCGAGATTCATCGGGTGTGCGGAGCTAAGCCGCTTGTTCGGG